TGTACAATTTAACTTTATAACATGAATTTTTTTGGATATAAACATATTTTTGAAATTATCAAATAAAATAAATTTTTCTTAATTTTATATATTAATATATATGAGAAATATATTCAATAATATATATATATATAATTTAGCTAAAATAAATAATTCATATATTAACTTTTATAAGTACTTTAAATAGTATCTTGTTATTCTTTTACCAAACATCTATTAAATAGTTTAATGAAAAAGTAAAACGTAAAACTTCTACAGAATACTATTTCTATAACATATTATTTTTATAGCATTCTGATTTTATACAATATTTTTATTGTTTTGTTATCAATTCTGCCAATCTAACATATTTATTCAGTCACACTCATTTATAACTCTAGTGAAAACCAAGGTGACATTAAATGGGGTGAATGTGGTCTTCGGAACAAAACAAAATGTAACTCAAGAGGTCGGTGTAAATTTGTTTGTGTGTTGTGGAATTGAAGTTACTGTCCTCATTTAGTATACGACACCGACTAGTGTCAGGTCCCATCTCTAGTTTTCTCCCTTTTGTTATGACCTCTTGCCACTTTCAGTACATTCAAATTTTTTTCTCTTTTTCTTATAAAGAATAATTACTCTTAAACCTTATATACCTCGAGGTGCGTCCGATAACCCTAAAATATTATAGTATTTGTATGGTTTAATATAAAATGTACCTCTATCTCACCTTTTATTTAAACAGATCAGATATTTTTATTTCTCATTTCCATCAAGTATATTTTGAAAATTAAAGATGTATCCAGAAAAAAAAAATTAATAGATATATACAAACTATTCTTCATAGAATTGTCTTTTTTTTCTTTTAGCTGTTGTGTTCCCATATTTTTACTAACTCTGAAACTGAAATTAAATAAGCACGTATTATCAAAAAAGTACAATAGGATAGACGAAATAAAAACGTTGTTCGTTTTATATAAAAATGTGGGTTTTCAAAGATTCTATAACGTTTCAAGTCAATATACTTGAAACATAGGCATCTTCCGAATTATTATTTAGACTATAGTATGATCTCTTAATTTTTATCAGATCATAGTTTATTATTGGAAGTTTTTTTTCAGATTAACAGCAGAAATTTTGAATTTTTTTTTTAATTTACATATGTCCGAATTCTATCTGTTTAAAAATTCTGATTTTAAAATATTATTTTGTACCCAAAAATACTTTAAATCCTGGATATATAATAACCAAACTTCTTGTACTGCCGACACTTTGGTTATTGTTGACAACATTAGCAATGTTTTTCTCATATATGCTTTATCAATATCAAGAAAATTATATTCATTTGCTTAATTAATTTTCATATTGTATACACATATTTATTTTCAAAAATTCATGCTATAATATTTATAATTATTTATTTTATATTTAAATTAAATGTTCTACAACTATATATTTCTATTATATACGTTATGTAGGTAAATTTATCTATGAAATAAAAGTTTACCTTTATAGTTACTTTAAGAATTTATAATAATATTTTTCTTAAGAATGAATACTATATAAAAATCAGAACATTTAACTAGTTTCAGTTTATGCGAAATAGGCAACGAACAGAAACAGAACAAAACTGTAACTAACGGCTGGTTTTTTTTTTTTTGTTTAATAATTTGCTGGTTTTTTCTTTTTTGTTTAATAATTTGCTGGTTTTTTCTTTTGTTTAAGAGACGTCTATAACTAACATTTACATGTATCATGTATGGAGATATTTCGTACGCTCTCAACACATGAAAATCGTGCATGCACGCAAAACATTGATGTCTTCGAATGTATTGAGAATATGTAGTTTCTTGGGGATGGTAATTAATTTACTAATAGTACGATAACTCATGAGGCAAATGCTCAGAGGACATCATCTCTTAAATATTCGTTGATATTACAAAATGAGTCCTTTGGCAAAAAAAGATTACAAAATGAGTATAGTACTGCACTACTGCTACGAAGTTCGGGCCGTTGCTGTCACCTTGCTAAATGCAATATGTGTCGTCCGTGTTTAAGTGATAAATAGTCCGAGGAAAGTGTTTTACAAAACTCATTAACTTTATTAAGTGTGTTATGTAAATTTGTAAAGGTTGTCTACACGAGGATTGGTTTGTAGGTTAGTAACTCACTATGATAACCACGTACAAGGCGTTCCAAGATCTTTAAAAGACTTGACTTCGAATCTGTTACAACTTAGACTATTCTAATTTGTACGCAGATATAGAGTAATGTTTTCGAGCTATTAGATTATCCGGCGAGAAGATCTATCCATAGATTACTTTTTTCTTTCTGAAATCTCTGTCTCAATCTAGAATATTTTCAGAATTTTTTTTAAAAAAACGCAATATGAACTAGACAGAATATTTTGTTTTCTGAAGAGATGTGGTGGAACTCGAAGATGTTAACCTGTCTAAACCATTGTACGGGTTTCAAAGAAGGCTGATATGATCCGTAAGAATGCTGTTGAGAGTCGCTCCTTATCTCAATTCAACTAATTTCTTGTCCATCATCAAAATTTTGTTATACATGATACAGCAAACGAAAATGCCAACAATTTATATTTACTTACGTGTTACTAAATCATGAATATAATCGTAACATATATATTTGTAAGTGTTCTCAAAATGGCTTCGATTCCTGCTACCTGCTCTATATATATATATTTATTTTTTTATTTTTTTATTGAGAAGGAAATTTGTATTTTCTACACACAATATTTACCCGTTTTACACTTCCTACCTTATTTCTCCTAGTTTTTGCTTCTTCCATCATCAATATTTCTCTCTAAAGTTAAGGTCCTCAGCTTCTTTTAATATTTTGAGCAAATTAAGACATCTCAACCTGAAAACCTGCATATATATTAGCTTAACCATTTAGAAAATGTCTTCATGTTTTTTGAATTTGAACACCGGCAATAAAAGAGAAATGAAATATATCTATTTAACAACAACATGAGCAATGCTATGGATCAAAACCAAAAATGTGTATTGGTTAAAGAAAAGAAGTAGGACTTTATCCCATGCTATTGCATGGAAAAAAAAAACAGAAAACAGAAGACAAAGCTATTAATTTTCATTTGACCTAACTCTTATAAATAAAATTTTACTGAACAATAAACCTAACGATGCGTTTAATGACTATTTAATACTTTTTATTATATATGTTAAGTTATTCCTACCAAAAAAATGTTAAGTTATTATATATTAGATTTAGTCGTATCATAAGGAAATTAAATAAATTTAAGTGCATACAACTATATAATAAACACATGAACAACCACTTGATAACATAATTCGTACTAGTCGTATCGAATGATTCTACCTATAATTGTCTAAAATTTAAGATAATTTGTATCAATTAATTTTCACAAAACTGCATTTTATAAAAATCAGATTTCATGTTAATGAGAAAAAAACTTTTTGCTCGAAATTGTTTTTTCATGAAAAAACTTCTAAACCCATGATTAATAAACTAAAGGGTCCACGACTGTTGACAAAAAAAAAAGGGTCCACGACTGTTTGATACTTAAAAAGAAAACCTGAACACTAAAAGGTCAAAAGAGTCGGTAATCAGTATTTATACACTTAATAGTTCATGATTAACACTTAACTATAATTTGAACTAGTCTGTGTTAGATTTGATTTTGTTCTCTGCTTCTTGTTTTCCCTGTTTGTCTGTAAAAAAACTTGAAATCTTGTAATGAATTTTAACATTTTACCAAAAAAAAAAACTATAATTTGAACTTTTGATCCAACTAGAGCGTATATACTAACTTTTGATCCAACCAGAGTGTATATATTACATACCGTGAATTATTATTTATTGCTCAGAAAAAAGGTTGGAAAACTGGAAGTGTGACGCAAACTAGAATTAGTACGATACAATAATAGAACTCTATGGATACTCTTGTCATTGTTAAAAGAAAGTTTGTATTTAATGAAAGGAAAGACGAGCCTGTGGTCTAACTTTCTTCTTGGGTCTATTGTTATTTACCATTTTCAGGCAACACGCTCTAAATAATGTATCTTTTTCTGATAAATTAATATTATAGATGCGTATAGATCTTTTGTCCGATGGCTCGAAGAAAAAACCTTTCATATGTGTCCAAGGGAGAAGAATTGATGGCTATTTTGGTAAATAACAAGGAACTGTCAATCAGTTCTACAGTAGAGATAGAAAAAATATTTATATTTTGGAAATATTTGTCCATCTTTTCAAACTTTTGGCTGCTTTTATTCAGACCTAAATGCCCAACTCCTTTTCTGCCTTTTTCTAGCGACAATGATTTCTTAAGAAAAAAAAAAGAAAGACAGAGAAGTCTTTATCAATAATTGTGTATATAAATAGTGTATATCTATTTTACTTTTCATATTATATTACATCATTTTTTCTAAAGTTTTATGATACTTCTTCACTACTATACCAAGTGATGGGAGTATGTAGAATAAACATAGTTAGCTGAGTTTTTACGTTGGAAAGTAGACGATATAATTAACTTCAGCTTTTTACAAACTTTTAAAATAGGGGTATCGATGTAGCAGAAACAATGATAACAGCTCAACCGGAGAATTCAAATGTACATTATGCAGTAACCACCGCTTCTTTATAATAGTTATATAGAATAACTATTATATTTTGTCATCATAATTATACCGTATAGAAGCGGACCAACGTCTGATACAAAATCAGATCGAAAACAAATCATATACATAACAAGTGTGTATCTATTTGTTATCAATATGATTAGTTAGCAAATCATGTTTGGTAAGTTATATGGAAAAACTTTTCACGAACGTTCGTTTAGTATTACCCAAAAAGGCTATTTAGTTCCTCCGACATTTTTAACAAAAAAAAAAAAAAAAAAAAAAAAAACCCCCAA